ACTTTGATGGGTAAAAAAATGGTGTCTCATTTTTATTTTAATTTCCCTTTCTTTAAAAATAAAATTAAGTATTCTAATAGATTAAAAGGCTATTTGTATTTTTTAAAAAGTGAACCATTTGTTTATAAAGTTGGCTCATTTAGAGGTAGGTCATTCATATGTGCTGCATTTCCCCCATTTATCTGCTTTACCTAGGGTTTGTGGAACTTCTTGCTATAGAATTCATTCCCTGTAGGTTTCAAGGCCTATCTTGTATTGGATTAACAGTGACTGAGCTTATTATATCTCAAGTATTCCTTTTGCAATGCTGTTCTTTAAATCATGTTCTGGCTTCCTGTTTTATTAATTTAACTTTTGCTTACAAAGATCTATGTTTTTATAAATATTCATGTAACAATACTATAATGATAGCAAAAACAGAAATGTCCAAAATAGAGTTTATAGACTATGCAAAATCATTATGAGTGCTGCTGCTATATAAAGGAAAGAACTCTGGCCACAGACCTATATTCCAACAATGTCTTATTTTCTTTGTAAGTATAAAGAACTTAACTGATTTAGAGATAGCTAGAGTTTGTTGAACACTATGATTCTGTGATTATTTTCTCCATTATTTTTTTGTTTGTTTTTAATAGTGGTAAAATATATATTAATCATTTTAAAACACACTGTTTAGTAAGGCACAATCATATTGCTATGCAAACAATTTCCAAAACTTCTTGGCAAAACTGAAATTCTGTACCTATTTAATACCTCTCCCTTTCACTCTCCCTCCAGTCCCTGGAAAACACTTTTCTACTTTGTCTCTATGAATTTGACAACTCTAGATACCTCACATAAATGGAATCACACAGTGTTCTCTTTTTGTGTCTGGCTTATTTCACTTAGCATAATGCCCTCATCTACTTTGTAGCATTGGTCAGAACTCCCTTCCAGTTTTAAGACTGAATAACATTCCACTGTATGAATATACCATATTTTGTTTATACACTCTTTGGTGAATACTAAGGTTGCTTCTGCCTTTAGTTATTGTGAATAATGCTACTGTGAATCACACATGGACATACAAAATTTCTAGACTCTGTTTTCAATTCTTTTGGATATACACACAAAAATCTATGATTTATTTTCAAATATAACTGAAAAGAAAAATAAATATTACAACTTACCATATCCTTCCTTTCCATATGCAAATGAAGGAGGTATAATCACTTTTCGCTTCTCTCCAGGGCACATATCCATCATAGCAATGTCTAGGCCTTTTATGACTTGTCCAACACCAAGAACAAACCATTTGGGGTGACCTTCGTTTTGTGTCCGGCTATAATAAAAAAAATTATCTTAGGTAAGCTGATTTCAAGAAGCCAAACTTCAAATTACAGGTGGGTGTTTAGTTATAATTTAAAATTAGAATCTCTTTTCCCATATTAGCACACTTTTTGAACCCCCAACGGGATATTTGGCTCAAACTTGCCTAAAATTGGTAGAAAGAAGTATGATTTGCTCAAAGCTAATCATTAGGAGTCATCTCGTTTTCTTTTTTATTGTGATCGATACAGAAACAGTTCACTTTTTAGTGGGTCTCCAGCCTCTAATTTGTTGTCTGGTTTATATATATAACTCATTTAACTTATCTGGGTTTGTTCTAAAAAAAAGATGGAGTGGGTTTAGTCTCAAAAAGTCATTTTAATGGTAATTTAAAATAGTATATATATATATATATTTTGTACTGGAGACTGAACCCAGGGGTGCTTAACCTCTGAACCACATCCTTAGCCCTTTTTTGTATTTTATTTAGAGACAGAAGCTCCTGAGTTGTTGAGGCTGGCTTTGAATTTGAGATCTTCCTGTCTCAGCCTCCCTCACTGCTAGCCTTATAGAGTGTACCACAGCCTTAGCCTACATGTCTCTCTTTTCTTCTAAATAAGAAGAATTTACTTTCCCCCAATCTTATCTTTATAGGATAATAGCATTCGGACTCAGAATAATATACTGTTTATTAAATCAGACTAAGCAGTAGGTGGGATGAGAGTAGGACAGGGGGCCCAGCAGAAAACACCAGGCAAGTCATTGTTGTGGTTGTAGTGAGAAACCACACTCCACACTCCAGCTTGAGGGATGGAATAAAATCTTTTTAGCTATCATCCAATGTGATTCTTAGTAAAGACGCTTCAATTCAGGGAAATTATGAATGCTATCATAGGTGATCTCTTGATTTAGTTCTAAGGATAGTGGTGGTAGTTGGAGATGTGTGGGGGTGTAGTGTACTTTTATCAGAAACTAAGCCATCATTTTCAACAACTAAAATATATTCAGTTTACTAGGGAACTACTGACGTCTAATTTGATTTTTTAAAATGATGAAATGACCAAGTGTGGTGGTGCACGCCTGTAATCCCAGCGGCTAGTGAAGCTGAGGCAGGAGGATCAGAAGTTCAAAGCCAGCCTCAGCTACTTAGTGAGCCCCTGTCTCAAAATAAAAGGGCTAGGGTTGTGCTCAGTGGTTAAATGCCTCTGGGTTCACTCCCTAGTACCAAAAAAACAAAACAACAACAACAACAAAAACAAATAAATGGTTCAACTTACTTTAAACAGAAACAAAACCACCAAATAATTAGCCTTTTGGTTGGTGGAGGGAGGTAAGATTTGGTGTATCAATTGGACATGGGGATAGTTTGCGGCATTTCTTACCTGCAGTAGAATTTCGAGCCATCTTTAGCCAAGTAGCCATCGTAATGGGCATTAAGCAGGTCTCCCTTCTTGCTTGTCTTAGAGCAGTTTTCGGGACGATGCAAAATTTCTATTTTCACTTCCTCTGGGCTCTCTTCTTTCTTTAGTCCCTGAGCAGTAACAAAGCCCCAGAGGTAAAAGAAAACAACTAATCTGGATAAGAAATGCATGATTCCTGGAACAAGCCCCAGGATACCACCGCGTTCGCCACCGCGTGTCTTTCGCTTTGGGTGGCTCTTCCCAGGGCAGAATTCCGACGCGTGGCAGGCATTGTCTTACGTCGTAAAGAGCCTGGGCGGGGCTTCTCGGCGCCCCGCCCCCAGCCGCGCGCTAGAACTGTAGTTTTCGCGGGGTGTGGGATCTGGAGCGTGTCTGTGATAATGGGCTTTTGGGCTGGCTGTCCTCTGTTGCTAAGGTGTCGCAACCTCGCACGCTTCTCCTCGAGAAGTCCGCGTGTTTTAGAGCCGGTTTCCTCCAGATTCAGTAGTAACACTCCCGTTTCCTAAAATAAAACTGGTAAAAGACGAGATGAACAGTCTGCGGTGGGATGTTTTAGAACCAGAGAATATAATCGTTATTTCTGGTGCAAAAGGCTTATAAGACCCATGGGGAACTAGCGGGAATGAAGGGGGGGGGGGACAGGTATTCTGGAAAAAAGACGGTAAGGCTTGCGGTTGCTGAGTGCTTCTGGAGCGTCCTTAAAGTTCTTTCTTGGGGTCGGAGTCATGCATTAAGGAGTTCCAGACCGCGTCAGTCACACACAGCCTGACAGTTACCTGAACTGGTCAAACTGCCACGTCGCTGTACTCAGCGATTTGTAACCCGCCGCTGCCTTTCGTTTGCGTCTGCCACCACTCCTGGCCACCCTTGACTTGAGGGACTCTAGTATTGCGGGAAAAGCTCTTGACCTTTTTTTCCCTGCTAACTTTGTGACATCAGATTTATCCATATCAGATGAGGAGACTTGAATACCGGGCATTTTGGTCCAATCTCTCAGCTGATATGCAGCAAAGATTAGGCCAACTCTGTTTGATGCAACCCCCTTCCCTCATTTCAATATGAAAACTTTCCAAACATAGAAAAGTAGGAATTTGCAGTGAACACCCTATACCCACCAACTAGATTCTATCATTAATGTTTAACTGTTTTCGATTTACTACATATCCATCTATCCATCCACCAATTCACCTTATTTCCAAGTGAATGTCCAGACTATCCCAAACCAGAAAGCTTTCAGGAAAGGCCTGGATTAATTTTTGGAAAGAGACATACTATTCTACCTCAATGATGCTATAAGTCTCAGTGCTGAGGCTACTTTATGTGATTGCTTAGAGGGTGGTGACCCTCATAGTGAATTAGAGTTTGCAAAATTCTATAATTCTGAAAATTACTGTCAATTATGCGAAGTGACAATCATTACCAACCAAGATAAAAAAAAAAAAAACGTAAAAGAAGAGGTGGGCATTGTGACACAGACCTATTAGCTGAGGAAGGAGGATTGCAAATTCAAGGGCAGTCTTGGGAATTTATAAAAACTCTACCTCAAGACAGAATAAAAAGGGATGAGGATGTTGTTCTGTGGTAGAGCAATTACCTAGCGTGCTTGAAGGCCTTAGGTTAATTCCTAGTACTACATACAAACACACAAGTTAGGAGAAAGCCTCTGTTAATACAATTTCAAAATTTGCAGAAAGCCCCTATTTTTCAAATACAATTTCAAAGTTTAGAGAAAGCCCCCCCCCCCAATGCAATTTCAAAGTTTAGTTCCACGTTTTATATTCTAGATAAAATCCTGGCTCTCCAAGGTTATTTATTGGGATGATGACAGTTTCTTGTCTGAAGACCCCATCATAGCTGTAATTTTACCTTCCTAGAAGAGAATTTCTCGGACACCCTGAGTGTGAGAAGAATATGAAGCCCACACAAGCCTTTTATTTTCTTAAAATCAAACAAATAAAAATCACCAAAGGACCTTAGGCTACCCTACAGGAACACTCTTAATAGGAGAGGCCTATGTCACTGTCCCCGAGAGTAATGCACCGGAGCTCGTGCTCAGACAGAGCAGGGTTGAGCGCGGCAGGGCCCAAGTGAAGGAAGACTGCGGAGCCTCAGGGCCCAGGCGAAGGAGGAGGCCAGACTTGCGCCGCACCCGCGCGCGTAGCTTGCGCCGCCTCCGGCACAGCGGCAGGGCGGCAGGCCGCGCCCGCTCCTGCAGCCCCGCCGCCGGGGAGGGGTTTCCCGGGACGGGCCGGCCCCTTTCATCCAGGAAGTGAAAGCGACGTCGGGGTCAATGAAAACAAACGGGGAACCCGGGGGAAGGAAGGCGGGCGAGGAGGAGGAAGCGCGGAAGAGAGCCACCGGGCCGCGGAAGTGCGAGCGGGAGGGCGGCTGCGGTCGCCTTTTAACCGTTGTCACGGTCGCCGCCGCCGAGGCTCGCCCGGGATGTCTGAGCGCGCGACTCGCGGCCCCGGAGCACCACGCGGCACCCGCCGTCCTGGCCTCTAAGCCGCCACGTCCCGGCGGCGCGCGCGGGCTGAGGGCGGCTTAGGACCCGCGGGAGCTGGGGAGGGGGCCGGGGCGCCCGGGAGGGGCTGCCGGGAGGGGCTGCCCCAGACCCGGTGCCTACCCCCATCTGCGCGGCCGGCGCCTGGCCAGGAGGATGCGCGGCGCCGGGATCTGAAGCATGGAGGGGGTTCTGTACAAGTGGACCAACTATCTCACAGGTATCGGGGCTCCCATGGTCCAGGGTCAGAGGGAAAGGCGGAAGGGTTGGGCAGGCTTAGGCTGTGGAGATGGTGGGTCAGGGGCCCCCTCTCTGCCTGGAGGGTGGTGACCCTCATAGCGAATTCAAAGCTTAATCCCCCTCTGGGTCCCTCGTGGAGTCTATCTGGCCTCTGCCGAGGAGAGTTCGAGACTGCGCACCTTCCTGAGGATGGGACTTGCAGGAGACCACTTCTTTGCTGTGTGTAGTAATAGTTCTGATTGCCCCCTGTAGCCTCCGGAACTATTCCCAGTCACCCCCACGTGTGTTGCATTCTCAGCCCGTGTTCACACTTAATAGTCAGTGTTTTGTTAATAACTGAGTTGTCCGGGGTATTGGACAGGATTGGACTCTTAGGATCAAGATTTAATTTTAAGAGATGTTTTCAATATTCCTTTTAACCACCTGAACAACACTATTGATTTTAGACGTTCACTTGTTGAACTTAGCAAGCATGGTTTTGGAATCTGTCCCCAGGTGTTTTTCTTTTAAGGGTTGGTTTTCAACGAAGTATCCGAACGTTTGGGAATTCAGGTAACTGAGAAATAGTGCAAGAAAGTGCAATACACAGAAATGGAGCAGGCTTATCAGATTCATCCATGAGATGGGTTGGAAGGAAGAACTACAGACTGTTAGTAGCTTCAGTGGAAAGGGCCACTTTCCATGATAATGAAGGCTATTAAAAGCTCTTAAGTCTGAATTGTGCAGTCTCTACTATCAGTCAGCGCTAAATTAGGCAAATGGTTTGTTCTCTCAGGATCTCAGTCTTTTTGTTAGGCCTGGATGATCAACAACTGGAAGTGTCTTCCTACTCCTGAGTTCTGTTATCTCACCAAATAAGAGGAAGGGGAATGTATTTAAAACATTAGAATAGTAAACAGATTTCTTGGTTAAACATAATGGCAAATATTGACTTGCTGCCCACTTACTCTGCCAAAGATATTGAACCCTTTAGTGATTATATGCTGTACTCAACTTGTGTTCACTGGACTTTGTGCAAAATCTGCATATACACACTATAAGGCATAGGTACTGAGCCATAGTTCTTGATTTTTGGTTAATTAGAACCTTAAAGCCAGATATACAGTAGTAGATACTTTTGAATCACTGATGTTTTATTTTGTTCAAAATAAAAATTTATTTCCTTAACTATCATATTTTAACAGGAAACATTTTAAAAAATAAGGCACATTTAAAAACATTAAATTAAAAAACTTTTTGGTGATGCTGAGAAGTGAACTCAGGGCCTTCCACATGCTAAGCAAGTGTTTTACCACTGAGCTACACCCCTGACCCCAAGACAAATATTTTTTATTAAGTATTTTCATTTGGGTGGTTGTGAGAAGCACAGTTAGTGTTTGGTTGAGGTATCCACATTAATGGTGAGTCGGTAGCTTCTATGCTTTGAGATGCAGGTGATTGCCTCATTGCAAATATTTGTAAGCACTGTGTCCTGGGAGTTCATGCCAGATGAACCATTTCTGAGTAGCCCAGAGCAATGGCAGTTACCAAGATGAGTCATAATTTAAGGTGAGGTTTCACTTAGAGTGAAATGTGGTCTTGGCAGTTTCCTCATTTCCTTTGGTACTGAGTACCAGCTGTGTCTTAGGTTTTAGTCTTTGCAGAACATTTTAGGTAACTTCTAGTAAGCTATGTAGAGTTTGCTGAAATGAAATCTTTGGTTTGGAAGGATTCCATTTTTAAAATTTAAATCTGGCTCCCCCACATGCTGATTATTAATTAGTTCATCTTGGTTCTGTAGGACAAGCAGCTGTCCATGCTAAGTGGTTTTTAAGGACCTCCTGTGTCCTTAAAATTTTAAATTAGTATAATTTGGGAATCATTTGTAGAATAAGAGTTTTGGTAACTTTTGGTAGTTTGATATAAAAATATGTGTTTTGTTTTGTTTTTTAAAGAGGAATTTTTAAAAGGGAGTAATGTGTGGATCTTTTCCACAGGTACAGTCCTATATTGTGTAAATGTTTATACAACAGGTTGGATTGTTAAATATTTCTTCAAAAAAGGTATATAGTGATTATTAACAGACTTGGTTAGAATAATATACTCAACCATGGTCACCATTTGTGTTCCTACAAATTCAAAATGAATCATTTTACTAAAAGAAAAAAAAACTTTTTTTTTGTGTGTGTGTATATGTGTGTTACTAGGGCTCAAACCCAGGGCTTTTGGTAAACATACTGGACAAACACTGTACCCCTGAGCTATATCTCCAGCCCATTTTGCTTTATTTAGAGACAAGGTCTTAATAAGTTGCCTAGGCTGGCCTTGAATTTGCAGGCCTCCTTCTTCAGCCTCCTGAGTTGCTGGCATTACAGAAGTGTACCACAGTGCCTGGCTTCAATATTTGTTTTAAATAGATATTGAATTGCAATAATCCACATTTGCAGAATCATACTTTGTCCTATAGGTACACTGGATCTATGGTGGAGGAATGTACTTTCATACTCTGCTTATAATTTGCTCACCAAGGTGAATTACTATTTGGAAATATGTTTTCATCATTTCTATACATGTTCAATACTTATGAATAATAATATTTAATGTCTGTTTTTTTGTGGATCATAGCAAGATCTCACATTTATGGTGTTCATTCATTTGTTTTTTTCTGTCACTTGAGAAATATATTTTTTAAACACCTGTTACGCCAGGCACCAACCACCATTCTAATTGCTGGGAATGCAGTGATGAACATGATAAAGTCCATGTATTCAAAAGAACTTTCTAATTTGGCAGGCCGCATTAGGGTATATAGCATTCTTAAAGATGGGTTTTCCAAGCCAGGTGTGGTGGCGCACTCCTATAATTCTGGTAGCTCAGGAGGCTGAAATAGGAGGATTGCAAGTTCAAGGCCAGCCTCAGCAATTTACTGAGGCCCTAAGCAACTTAGTGAGACTGTCTCAACATAAAAAAATCAAAAGGGCTGTGAATATAGCTCAGTGGTAAACCATCCCTGGGTTAAAATCCCCAGTGCCAAAAAAAGCAACAGCAAATAATATTTTCCAGGCATCTAAGGCTGCTTGATTTACTTATTTTGGACATTTATCTTTCTGAACTGTATTATAGCATTTTCTACTTTCTTATAAACATTTTTTTTGACTTCTCTCTCTCTCTTTTTTTTTTTTTTTGGTGTTGGGGATTGAACTCAGGGCTACTCAACCACTGAGCCACATCCTCAGCCCAATTTTGTATTTTATTTAGAGACAGGATCTTACTGAGTTGCTTAGTGCCTCACTTTTGCTGAGGCTGGCTTTGAACTCATGATCCTCCGTATTAGCCTCCCAAGCCACTGGGATTACAGGCATGTGCCACCAAAAATTTAACTTTTTTAATGATGACTCGGTGCTGTCATTTCAAAAGTGTTATAGGTAAAGCCTTTTAGGGAAGAAAGTCCTGGGTTTGTAAAGCAAGGTTTAAGAATATTTCACCTGTCTGCCCTTTTTTGGTACTATCTGGCCTTGGAAAAGCTGAATTGATTTAGCATATAACTGGTTATAGCTAAATCTAGCAGGATTTGAACCCCAGTGGTTTGAAAGGTGGTACATTTTAGCCTAGAATACCTGTGCCAAATTGTGAATTAATAGTTACAGAAAGAACAAGGACAGTCACACTGCCTCCAGCATGGTCACCATGTTGTTAGTTAGTGAACTGTTGTAAATTAGTAGCATGCTTGATAAGATTCCAGGGAACATGGAGTTTGGTTTGCAAGAGGAGTGGGAGTTGGGCACCAAGGAAAACCATCTTCCTACTTACCAGGTTTGCTTTAGAGCCAAGTCTGTAGCAGATCAGAGGAAGGAAGGGAGGTCATGGGGAATATATGTTCTTACATAGGTTATAGAGTCTGTGTAAAGATTGGAATTCACTTAGCTCTTATATGGTGTTTAAGGGAGTTTGCTTAGGCAATGTATTTTCTAAGAGAAGGGAAGGCCACTGTAGAATTAGAGGGTTAGGTCGCAGCTGAGGGGTCATCTTGTGCAACCTACTTGTTTTGGAGACTGGGTACTTTAGAGATTTATTGAAATGAAAAGATTTGTCCCTGGTTATTCAAAAAGAATGATTGTAGAACTGAGTCTAAAACCCCTGTTTTCTGTTACTGTTCCAGTTTGAGCATTGATAACCTGAAATCTAAAATGCTGCAAAATCTAAAATTTTTTGAGTTCTGACATATTACAAATAGGAAATTCCACATATTACTTCATATGATGAATCACAGAACCAGAAATATTGTATAAAATTACCTTCAGGCTATGTGTATAAGGTGTACATGAAACAATGAGTTTTATATTTAGACTTGGGGCCCATTCCCAAAGTATCTCATTATGTATATGCAAATATTCCAAAGTCTGAATCCCAAACACTTCTGGTCCATTTTGGATAAGGGATACTCAGTCTGTACTCATGAAAAGGAGCAATTATGTTGTACCTTGTGTAGGGCTATTATTGAAGATGATTCCAGGGAACCATTTCTCTAGCAAGGACATTTTGGGCAAGTGTTGACCATTAAAATTTTTATTGTCAGATGTTTCTTGAGAGCCAAGAAATCATGTATATGGCAGGGCTTGAAATCACAGTTTTCTATGGGATAAAAGTAAATTCTTATTAACCTTTGTTATTTATGATCTTTTTAGGTTGGCAACCTCGCTGGTTTGTTTTAGATAATGGCATCCTATCCTACTATGATTCACAGGATGATGTTTGCAAAGGGAGCAAAGGAAGTATAAAGATGGCAGTTTGTGAAATTAAAGGTGAGTAATTAGGAATTTGAGGTTAGGTAATAAAGGTTCTATAGCATGCTCCAAATGAGGACAAAAGCATTTCCAATTATGTAGCAATTTTTTAGTGCTATTAATTTCTTTAGCAGTCAGGAGTGGCATATAGCATTGGTTTTGATAATTCTCCCTTTATAAATGTACTGTGAATTGAAATTCAGAGTAACTGTGCTACTTTTCCAGTTTGACTGTTGCAGTTTTTTGCTGGATGCCACTTTTTTGCCATGATGCCTCCATGTACATTCTATTTAATTCTTATAGAAAGGTATTGTAAAGATTAAAAGTTGAGCTCTGAAGATGACCATGCCAACTCTGATGGGTATTGATAAAGTCAGAGGCATAAGCTTTGATTATCTGCTGAACTGGAGATAAGTTCTAGATGATAGAGATGATTTCCTTCCCTTCCAAAGGGGGAAGAATAAAGCACTAGGTCATGCTGTAATTTTCCAGAATGTTTCATGGATCATTGATTCATTTATATTTGTGGTTGGGGTGGTTGGTGTGGGGATAGGCACTATGAAATCAGACAAAATTATAATGAAAAGTCTTGAATTCCAGAGTGAATTGAGGACAAACTAGAGCATTAGAAGAGTGTGTGTTAAATTCTCTCTAGGCTTTTCTCATCCCCCTTCTGTAGCCTGAATACTTGTCCTTTGTAAAGAATAGTTCTTTGGAAATGGTGAGCTCTTGCTCATAGCTGCCAGGTACTCCAGAGTTGCTTTACCTCTCTACATTTTCTTAGATTCAACCAGAGTAGCAGCTAATGCATTGTGTTACTTTTTCCAGGGCTAGATTGCTACTTCTGTGTGATTTTTCTAGTAATTCTTAGTTAGATTTACCCAAGGAGACTAAGGGTATTTTTCTTCTTTGGATGCACATTCTTTATCTACAACTTCTGTTTCCTCACCTTCATCTCAGAGTTACTAGTAGGTTCTTTCATTATCCATATTCTCAAAGAGGAGACGGTGATGTCTTCTGGGGAGCTTTCACCAAACTGCATGTGCCCAGTGATTGTATCATGTCTGCTTTAGTTGATTGTTATTACAGTTTTAATGGAAGAGAGTCTTGGCTACATGAATAGAGATAGAAGCACTTCAGCCTGGTGTTTTTTATTACATGCATGTTTCTAACAAATATACTGAAACATATACCCAAAAAAGTGTTGGCTTTCCATATATTCATTTTAGTGTCTGTAATTATTTTCAACTATATTATCACCACCTATAACATTTTAAAAGTGTTTTCTTGAAATTGCCTTATGAGCCAGTTTATAAATGCACAAGAAGAACACATCCAGAACATGAGTTTTTATTTAAAAAAATGTTTGTTTATCTCATTCCTGACAATCCCAGATGAGGTCTGGTCATAAATCAAAACTACAAAGTTAGAAGCTTTGCCATCTTTGAAAATATTTAAATGACAGCTGTGGAATTCTTATTCCAAAACAGTTTCAAACCATGGCAACATCTTTTTTGTTGTCATTGTTGGTTTAATCGTTTTTATTAAAGAATAACAAACTCATAGAAAAGATCATAAATGTTAAAAAAAAAGTTCAGACGTTAAAAGTGAAAGAATCTGTGTAGCCACCACAGATCAAGAATTAGGTTATCACCAGACGCTCAGAAATCTGCTGTGGGGGTCCGCTTAGCCACTTATCCCCTAAAATGTCATCAGTCATCTAGCCTTTATCCCTGTTATAACTAGAGCAGTTCAGTATTTTCTTTTGTGTCTGGTTTCCTTTTACTCAGCATTATTTTTGTGAAATCCAACCATATTCTACTTCATGGTGGTTCAGTCATTGTTATGTAGTATTCCTGTGTGTGAATAGTCCATAACTTTTGGGTTATTTCCACTTTGAGACTATAATGAGTAAAGCTATCATGAACATTTTTTTAATTAAAAAAATTTTTCCTGTGGTATAATAAATATAAAATAAAGTTTATCATCTTAACCATTCTTAATGTATAGTTCAGTAATGTTAACATTTTACACATTTCTTTTATCAAACATAAGTAGGCCTTTATAATTAGTATATGTCTAGTAGAGTGCAATTGCTGAGGCATTGAATATTTTATATATTTAGCTTTAAGAGGTGTTAAAGAAAAACATTCTTGACATTTGTTAAAATAGTATGGCATGCTTTATTTAGGACTGTGGTGATAGATATAGGGAGTGGGTTTTGTAGCAGAGGAAAGAAAATGAGCTCAACTCTGAATACAACAAGGAAAAGTGGGATCTGACAACCCAAATGCAGGACAGGAGAACTGGCAGTTGAAAAGTTACTAAGAAGAGGGCTGGGGATGTGACTCAAGCGGTAGCGCACTCGCCTGGCATGCGTGCTGCCCGGGTTCGATCCTCAGCACCACATACCAACAAAGATGTTGTGTCCGCCGAGAACTAAAAAAAAATAAATATTAAAAATTCTCTCTCTCTCTCCTCTCTCACTCTCTCTTTAAAAAAAAAAAAAAAAGAAAAAAAAGAAAAGTTACTAAGAAGAAACTTCAGGGACACTGGGGATTCTAACTAAACCCACTTAACAGGATTCTTGCAGAGGTAGGTCAGGGTGATCAGTTACTTCCAGCAGGGTGGAAAGGAATAAAGAATTTGTTCATATACAAGGGTAAAGAGATATCCAGGATGGGAGATTCTGACTTGGCAGAGTTCTTGCTGAAACTGTTCTCTATCAGCATGGAGATGGAAGCCCAGTGGAGCTGAGGACTCAAAAGATCCTGACTGAAATTTGGTTAAGGGGAGAATCTTTTTCAGAGATGATTCCAGACTGTTTTCCAAAGTCCTATGAACTTATTGTTATCAACTTATTGATAGAAGGACTTTGAGCATTTCACTTGATCTATGTCTCATCAAAACTTGACATTGCCAATTTTTTAGAATTTTGAATATTTCTATAGGTATACTGGTATCTCTTGGTGACTTTAACTTGTATTTTTTCAGTAACTAATGATGTGGAGTATTTTTTCTTCTTGAATATTAAACAGTCATTTGAATATCCTCTTCTTTTAAAGTCCCTTTTCAACTCTTTGTCCCATTTTCTGAACTTGACTCTCTCTCACATTGATTTATAGGACTTTGTATAATGTAAATGAGTTTTTGTATTACAAGTATCTTCTCTCACTCTGTTTGTATTTTCATTTTGTTATTAGTATCTTTTGATGAACAGAAGTTTTTAATTTCAGCAAAGTCCATTTTGCAAATAATTTTTACTAGAACATTTGATTCCCCTTTTAGGACATCTTCTATGTCACTTTTTTGAAGTTTTCTTGTTCTACCATTTATATTTAGTTCCAAATTAGATATGTAAGGTAAGAATCAAGATTCACTTTATTTCCATATGGATATATCTAACTGAGCACATTTTTGAAAATTGAATTATAGGGATGTCTTTGTCTCTGTGGGTCTTTCTAGGCTGTTTAATTCTATGGGTTTTTTTTTCTTTTCTTTCTATCCTTGTGCCAATAGCACACTGTCTTAATTTCTTTAGCTTTATATTCTTTGTATCCTGTAGTCTTAAGTTTTTTAACTTTTTTCCTTGTCAGTATTATCTTGGCTATTGGCCCTTTGCATTCCTTTATACATTTTAGAATCTGCTTGTAAATTTCCATACTGAATTTTGGCTGGAGTGACATTGAATTTATAGGTTAATTTTAGAAGAATTATATTCTTAACAATATTGATTTAGCATGATGTGGCCTTGTATTTAATTAGGTATTTAATTTTCCTCAGTAATGCTTTGTAGTTCTGTCTATAGAGGTCTGATCCATCATTTTTTTCCTTAGGGACTTGATGTATTAGAAGTTTTGTTCTTAAGTTTGTTAACTTCTCAGGTGACAGCTTTGGAGAGGACCATCCTTGATTGGATGCATAGGTTCTGGCATAATTAAAAGTGAGTCATCTTATTTTAGTTTCATCTTGTAGCAACATTATTAGGAATTAGATCATTGAGCTAGGCACATTGATGCACCATTGTAATCTCGCTGACTGGGGAGGCTGAGGCAGGAGGATCACAAGTTTGAGACTACCCTGGGGAGCTTAACAAGATTCTGTCTCAAAATAAAAATTGAAAGGGGTTGGGGGCATGTAGCTTAGTGGTAGAGCATCCCTCGGTTCAATCCCTGGTCACACACACACACCCAAAAAAGAAAAAAAAAAGAAGAAGAAAGAATTCAGAGAATTGTTTTAAGGTAGGCATTGATGCTTTCACCAGCACTAGTGATTAGCAAAAAAGAGTTAATTTTAGAGCTTTGGGTTTTTTGTAGTTTTATCCTGATATAAAATCTTTCCCACTTATCACTGATTGTTATGTGGTTGTAACTTTCAGTATCTACACCTAAGTTTGGCCATATAAGTGCCTTTATGGCACTTATTTGCCATAATGCACTGAGCATCCACTCAGTTTTCAGTAATTACTTCTCTAAGTTAGGGATTCCGCCAGACTTTCTGGGCCCCTCATAATGTAGCTCCATCAGATTGTCCATTCGTGAATATGAATATTGCATTGCAATACAATACAAGGCTCTCTTGAGGCTTGCTTTCTCATATCCTTAGTACATTCTGTATTTATTTTTTCATTTAAGCCTTTTCTCATGCTGTTTTTCTCCTAAGTAAATCCTGCTGGCATTAGATCTTGATCTGGAAGCCTTTTCTTTTTGATGTTTCTTATAACCTTTCTCTCATAATTACATGTGAAATCTTGCACCACAGAATTCAACATGTAAGTGTTCTGATGGTTTTTGGTGTGTTAGTTTGTTTCCTTGGTTAAATTGTCAGTTCCATATGAGCAATGACTCCATTTTTCTTCCTATCTTCCCCTCGACCAGCACTGTCCAGAGCTGAGTAAGTACTCGTCATTTAATGACATTTAAGTACAGATTTCATCTTACAACAAAGACTTGAGATTGGCTCAGATTTGTTCTTGATTAGCTCTCTTCTGTCAGAATATCAGAAGGGGTGTGTACATAGGAGGGGAAGTGGAGGGAGTAGAAGATGTGAACGTCTTCAAAATTCATGTGCTTTCCAGATGACTGTGATGGGCCTTTCACAGAACTTCTGTTCTAATGGAAGGTATGCTAGTCAGCTTTTTTTTTTTTGTTGCTGTAACAAAAGGAGGAAGGATTTACTTTGGCTCACTGTTTCATGGATTTTAGTCCATAATCAGCTGACTCCTATGGTGAGACAGAGCATCATGGTAGAGAGGCTGTGATCGTGCAGAGCTGCTTACCTCATGGTGGCCAGAAAGCAGAGAGAGAGAAAGGAAGGATCTGGGGACAAGATATAGGCCTCAAAGGCACACTCCCAAGGACACCTTAATCCCCTCAACTAGTCTCACCTCCTACAGTTCCCACTTCATTCCAGCAGCCCATTTGAATTATGAATATATCAATGGATTAATCCACTGATGAGGTTAGAGCCCTCATGATCCAATCTTTTCTTAAAGTCCCACCTCTGAACATTGCTGCTTTGGGGGTTTTCTACATCCTTTGAGGGGTGTTCCAGATTCCAACTCTAATAGAAGGTGGCCATAATTATTATTTGTTGCATTCCTTCTATATGTTAGACACTATCCTAGGCTTGGGGGATACCAAACATAGATTCTGCTTTCAAGGAAGTTAGTTACATGTATTTAAGGTGGTATAGGTGGTCCCAAGGGAGTGCCTCACTTCTCAGTAGTTAATCTGTCCATTTTCTCTATTATATGCTGCCATCGCTTTGGCAGATTGCTCTTGGGTCCATGCAAGAAGGGTGGTTTGGAAGGTACCCCTGGGTAGCCCCTGAGACAGTGGTTCTGCCTTCACGGTGAGTCCTGGTTTGTTGGTTTAGGTGTGTGAAGCATCTAATACCATGTAAGAGTGGTGATTTGATTCTCCCCAAATTACTGACATTCTTAACTCTATAGTCTCCTTTGTTTATCATCATAGTTCATTCAGCAGACAACACAAGAATGGAATTAATTATTCCAGGAGAGCAGCATTTCTACATGAAGGCGGTAAATGCAGCTGAAAGACAGAGGTGGCTGGTTGCTCTGGGGAGCTCCAAAGCATGTTTGACTGATACTAGGACTAAAAAGGAAAAAGGTAACTATAGTTTTTCCCCTGTGGCAAGAGCATTTTTAAAGACAAAATAAATTGCCCTGTCTACTTATTAGTAATCTGCTGCAAAGAAATAACCAGTAATGTAGAAGACTTACATATATATTTAGATGATCATAGTTAAAAATTTGTAAGCAGTGTAAAGGTATAAATTGAGGGGAATGGTTCAGTAAGTAAACTGGTGCTTCCATTAGTTGATATTTTATGTGGCCAGTAAAATGTTTACAAGAAGTTTTAATGATGTGAGAAAATGCCCAGGGTTAAACAATCATTAATGAAGGGAGGGGCTGGGCTGTAGCTCAGAGGCAGAGTGCTTGCCTAGCATGTGTAAGGCACTGGGTTCTATCCTTAGCACCACATAAAAATAAACAAATAAAATAAAGACATTCTGTGCATCTACGACTATAGAAAATTAAAAATAAATAAATAAAAGCAGGACTCAAAATTAAATATAGTGTCAGTATTCATTGGCTGGTTTAAGAAAGATATATGAGTTGGTTGTTACAAAGTTGTTACTTTGAAAAAAGGAATTTCTGAGGAGACTTACTTTTTACTGTATACCCTTTAGTACCTTTTGACTTATGAAGGTGCGTTGTTAATTCAAAGAGATTAAGTAAATGTCAAAAGCAAAGGAAATGGTATATGGTATTAATTGAACCATATGTGGATATAATTTGAAAATAATGACAGTATTTGTGTTTTCATAGATTGATTTTTCTGTGTTTTCTAAAATTTTTCACTGAGAATATATTGTTTTTATATTTAAAAAACAATATTAAATTAATAAAGACAACTAAATTATGGATATTGAAAAATGGAGGCTGAGGATGGAATTTACATCACTACTCAAATATAGGAAGGAACATCATGGATAAAGTACAACTAAGAAGCTGATAAGAAGGAATCGATATTTTCAATAGCTAATGGATAGAAACAACACATATGTTGACAGTTGAATGGATAAACAAAATGTGGGATACATATACAAGGGAATATTATTTGACCTTAGAAGATTCTGACATTTGTTACAATATGGGTGAACCTTAAAGATATTATGCAAAGTGAAATAAATTCATCACAAAAGATAAATATTGGATGATTCCACATATGAGATACCAAGGATAGTCAGTCTGATTTATGCAGACAGAAAGTAGAATGGTAGTTCCCAGACCTACAGAAAAGAGGGAACAGGGTTAGTGTTTAATGAGTATAAAGTTCTCATTGAGAAAAATGAAAAAACTTCTGGAGACAGATAATGATAGTGTTTGTATGACATTTGAATGTATGTAATACAAGTGAATTGTACATTTAAAAATGGCTACAGTGGCAAATTTTCTGTTATGTATATTTTACCATAATTAAAAAGAAACAAAGGAATGGACGATAATTTGGGGAAGAATTGATTTAGGTTAGATCAAATGTGCAGATAGAGCTGCTTTGGTACATTCTGCAGGAGTAGCTTTGTGACTAGTACCAGAAAGCAATGGCATTGGCCTGGCTTAGAGAGTGTGGAGAAGCTCCAGAATATTTATATATTTTTCTTCCTTTGCAACTTTAACTTCTAATTTAAAACATATTGGCCTGCCAGGTGTGGTGACGCATACTCCCAGTGACTTGGGAGGCTGAGGCAGGAGGATTGCAAGTTGGAGGTCAGCCTCAACAACTTAGTGAGACCCTAAGTGACTTAGCAACGCCATGTCTCAAAAAAGGAGTGGGGATGTGGCTCAGTGGTTAAGCACCCCTTGACCCAGGGTTCAATCCCTGATACCAAAATTTAAAAAAGGAATTAGCTTATGAATGGCTGAGATGGTGGCTGAATAGTTGTTTGTCTGGAGTTAAGGAGAAGTAAGTAAGCTGTTAATGAAAATTCTGAAAACTGTATAATGTGAAATAAAGTGAAAGAATCAGAAAAAAATAAATATTTATATACAGTATTTTTAATTATAGGAAGGTTAAAAACTCCTGTATGCCACACTATATTACAACAAAGAAAATGAAAAGAGAGCTAACATCTATAAAAGTCTATGGGATAATAAAAGATTATTATCTTTAATGTGTAAGAATTTTTTAAAAATTATCAATTTATATATTTTTAAGAGAAAAAGCAAACATCAGAGTTGAAAAAAATGTGCCAAGGACTCCAAAAACTTATTTATAAAAGGAGACATACAGGCATTTTTCAAATGGCAGGGGACAAGTAATGGAGTAGAAGTATCCTGTGTGAAACATCCAGGATCCTCACTTTATATCTATAATTAATCTATGTAAATTTCACAGCAGACATATGACCTTTAGGTTCCCCCCCCCCCCCCAGTTATCTAAAGAGGTATTTTTTCAGGGTTCTGTTATCCTACTTCTAAGGTCTTATATCTCTTAAACTATAGGACAAAAAGGTATTTTTGGCCTTCCATTCAAATTGATTAAATTTCGTTGTACTGCCCAAGGAATATGAAAATGATCTAATTGATGTTTATATATGTTTCTTTCAGAAATAAGTGAAACCAGTGAATCTCTGAAAACCAAAATGTCTGAACTTCGTCTCTACTGTGACCTCCTAATGCAGCAGGTTCATACAATCCAGGAATTTGTTCATCATGATGAGAATCATTCATCTCCCAGCATAGAGGTATAAGAGAAAGGATCCTCTCCTGTCTGGTTCCACTTTGAACTATGCCTGGGTGTCCTCATCATCCTATAGGATGATAGGGGAGCATTTTCACAGTGAGTTAGTTCCATCTATTCTGGGATCTCTCTGCTATAGACTCTTTGGAAATATTTAGTACCTTCTAGGTTATTTGTCTAGCCAGAGTCAAGCTTGACTCCTTTTCTCTGGGGAATCTGTCTTTGCAACCATTTTGATGATTGGAGGTTGGGATGAGAAGCATTCCGGACAGTGATCTCTTGGCCAAGTGCATGAATTCACTGGACAGCTGTTACTCAGTCTTTCTTTTGATAGTAAGGTCTCAGCTTCAGCTACTGAGAGTTAATATCTTTATGAAATAACTTAAAAAATTCTTTTCAGATCAGTGATAAAGGATTCAAAATCCCGGTTAGTAGTAGGGTTTGGCTAGTAGTAGTTTTGGCTATGAAATAAGGTCACCCATTCTGGTGAAGGGAACTGGTAAGCCCTCTAGTCTCTGGGTGAAAGGTCAACATGCCCTTTGCCTAATGTGGTAGAAGTAGAACAAGAACAAGAAATCTTCCTCCTTCCTGTTGGGGGAAGGGTCTTTGTGAGGAAGGTGAGAGTGGTTCCTCGCTGGTGAATGCTGTTTACCACAAGCTCCCTAAGGCAGGTGTTCTAACACTGCTCCAAAGTTAGTGTCAACGTCAGGGGCCTGGGCTTGTTCTGCCATTCTTGTATTGGATTTTCTCCTCCTGCCTTAGGTTTCAGGTGACTACTAGGGTCACAGAGAGGCCAGGGGTAGAGAGACCTTCTCAACTTACTGTTCTTGTTTTTAATCATGGAGCAAAAATCCTAGAAATTCCCTAGCTGACTTCTCATCTTTTTTGTCTGGCTCAAAAGAAACTAGGGGGAGTGTGAGGAATGAGTATTTGGCAAAGAATAGCCAAGATGGGCTTAAGTGAGTGTGCAGTCATCCCCTAAGGCTAGGCCCCCTTATCACCCTGAACAAAATTAGGATTTTTATTCTACCAAGGGAGAAGTAGACGGGGTGAAGGAAGGATAGACCAGAATTGTGCTGCTACTAAGTAACTCCCAAGAATGTTCCACTGCTATGACACCTTCAAAGTTCTAATAGAGAATTGAAAAATCACATTTCAGTTAAGGTTTCTCCAAGATAAATTTTTTATACACAGGTTTTCAGTATGCTATTTGGTTTAAATGCAAAGTTTATTTTCTTGGAATCTAACTTCATACATTGTTTACCTAAAAAGCAGACATTTCATATTTATGCATTGCTTTAATGTTGTCAGGTAGTGTATTTTAAGTAATTCCTAAATTATTAAGTCATACCCTAATCATGGGTCCACTGGAAATGATGTTTCATCACTTGATTATAAGGATGTGTATGATCCCACGTAGCTGTGTGTGAGTCTGCTCAAGTCCTTACGTGTAATCTTTCAGAACATGAACGAAGCCTCTTCTCTGCTTAGTGCCACGTGTAATACATTCATCACAACGCTTGAGGAGTGTGTGAAGATAGCGAATGCCAAGTTTAAACCCGAGATGTTTCAACTGCCCCATCCAGATCCCTTGGTTTCTCCTGTGTCGCCTTCTCCTGTTCAAATGGTTTGAATTTCTTGCTTTTCTTCTAGTGATATTGATTCTGGGTTTTCTTTTGTTTTTAATTTTAAGGGTCGGGAGGCAACAGGCAATGGAGAAGAAACAGTTGAATGATTGAATTTTTTTGTTTATCCTCTATTTTGCATTGGACCTCTCTGCTAAGGAGCTAAGCATGAGTATAGATCTACTCTCTCCCTGGAAGGGGCTGCACAGGCCTGCCCCTGAGCTGCTGCCCCCAGGAAAACATTGTAATGCACTATATGTGCTGGGACTCAGAAAGGGTTGTGAGCACACTTGCTTTATAGTGGGGCAATGTTTCCCTCCTAATGAGATGCAATGAAGCATGTCTTTAGAAGATTGGAAGGGACTTGAAACATGTTCCAGTGGGAACAGCATTCTGTAATCGGCATTAGTTTTGAACCCCCCAAGTAGGCAAGTCATTTAATCTCTCTGGTCCTCAGTTTCTTCATTTGTACCGTAGAGTGTCTTCTCTATCAGAGGGCTGTTGTGAAGGATCAGACCTGTTAATGCTGCCTGTCCAATGTTGGTTTCTTTCCTCTTGATTACTTGAACAACCAGAGCTCTTTTCTCTGGGGGCGGAGGATTCGTTGTCCTTTTCAGGCTATTGAACTTGCTCTGGCATGCTCTGGGGAACTTGTAGGTGAGATAAAGTTTGATAAGACTAAATTTTTTTCATCAAAGTGTTTTTAGGAGGAAGAATGCTACATAGTATTGTTTTAGCAATTACCAGAAGAGTTATTGGTTAGAAGAATAGGATCCAATTTATTCCTAGGTTCTCTTACCCACCCCAGCAAATTGAATTACATGAGATTTAGTAAAGATTATTCCTAAATTTATTTAGAGCTTTGTTTTCTAATGTCCTCTGAGACAGGTGTACCATGAAGATATATTTTATGGTCAGTTTATTTGGGAAGTTTTGGTGGACTTAGTGAATTAGGTTTTTTCGTCCCAATCTGATAGGAATAGTCTAGCCAGGACTTCTCAGAGCCTCTTTCTATGCTGAAATTTAGTGTGAATTGTTGAGAGAGGTAGTGTGCAGTATTTCTGAAATTTGTCAGTTAATACCCTTTTTGCTTATTTTTTAGTACTCTCATAGGACTATAGTAAATCCTTTTAGAACAATTACAAATATGCTTTTTAGAACAATTGTAAATATGCTAGAAATTGTTAAATAACATGTATTTAGAACATGTAAAAGAAACCAATCTTTTGAGTTGGATGTACAGTGCTCTCTCTGTTCCTGAGGTTGATGCATGAGGGGTACTTGGGTTATTATGTTTTTAAAGGTATACTACATAGAATCAAATGCAATAAAAATACTTCATTGCTACAATTTTTGCATTGAACTCTTTAGGAAATGTCTTTGGAGAAGTCAAATATGTATTTTCTGTATAATAACTGACTATTTTAAATCAAAATATTTAATCAGCAGAAAAGTTACAAAAAATCCAATGAGTTAGGGGCTGGGCATATAGCTCAACTGGTAGAGTGCTTACCTAACATTCACAAGGCTCTAGGTTCAATCTCCAGCACCACCGCCCCCCCCCCCCGCAAAAAAAAAAAAAGAAAGAAATCCAGTGAGTTAATCTAAGAAATATTAGGTTAGAGGCCACTTAGTTTTCCTAATTATGCCCTTTTGTTTGACACAAAAAAAGCAAGAATTGTGGGTTATGGCAGTTTTTCCAGAGACACAGCTTGGAAATTAAGCTCAGACAGTCTTCAAAGGCAAAAAACCAATTTTTTAATGAGTTATTTATTTATATGAAAAACTGTTGTTATTTGTTGTTGTTGTTGTTGTTGTTGTACTGGGGATGATCCCTGGGGCATTTTATCACTAAGCTATATCCTCAGCCCTTTTTATTTTTAATTTTGAGACACAGTCTTGCCAGGTTGGCCTCCAACTTGCACTCCTCCTGCCTCAGCCTCCTGAATATCTGGGATTATAGGTGTGCACTACTGTACTGAATAAACAATTTATTTTTTATATAAAAGTTTGCTTATATTAAAAATGAAGCTGAAATTTTTGAGAGCTCCTAAACTATTTAATCTGATCTTTAAAACTGGTTCATCAAGCTTATTGAATCCATCTTAGAATAAACTTGCATTTAACTTTATTGCAAATCATCATGTTAGGTGCAGACAGTTGTCATTTTGGCAACTGATTGAGTTCTTGTGGTAAGGATATCACCGGATGAAGTAATTCTTAAGGAAGTAATTTCTGTTAAAAGACATGTTAATATCTATCTGTGTCTTAATGACTGTCATATTAGATGTATCTGGACTACAAATTGGGTTGGTCATATCTGATATTTCTACTGGTATTTCTCATCAACTAGTGGCTTTGTTTCAAGTATAGAAGGCATTTGCATAACATAAATGCTAGACCTGTACTTGTGAGATTCTTAACTCCATGTATATAAAGGCAACCACCTTAAACCTTTAGTATAAACTTTGCCTTTCTGCTACCTTGTTAAATGTTGAGATCATCTGTTTTATATGATTGCCGACCTTTATTTTTTGATGGGAGTTTAAGCTTCTAAATTACATTTAGTATTTGTTACATTAAATGCTCAGCTTAATCAGATATTTATGTTTAAAATATGTGGTAGAAACCTTTTTGAGACTTAGGGTTCGTCTGAGTTCTTTAAAGACTTGAATTATTCATGCTATTCTCTATGAAAGCCACACTTTGGAACATCTGTGTGTTAGCTACCTGAATGATAAATGGTAAAGAGAAGCTTTGTTACTATCTATGCCTGCCCTTTAGAGAAAAAGAAAGTGATGTTTATTAGAATACTTTTCTGGCTTGCTGCTTAGTCCTTTATTACAAAAAGTGTGACTTTTGAATTAGTTTTATATACTGTTTTTTAATATTTTTATGCATGTATACATATCATATTCATATTTGTATATATACATATATAAACATATAGTAGTTTTTAGTATTGAGAAAAGAATACAGCATGTTTTGGGTATGTGTTGAGAAATTTTCCAGTCAATGATTATTATTAAGGAGAAAGGTTGACATTGAGCTAATCATGTTTCTTGAGTCTTAAGATAGAGTTTTATTTTTGGCCAGACATCTTTTTCTCTGTATAAATTTATGATAATTGTCATAACAATAGTAAATCAGAGCTGCATTATTCTACTTCACATGTGGATCATGCTAAGTTTTTTTTTTCTTTAATTTCCAGATGAAGCGTTCTGTCAGCCACCCTGGTTCTTGCAGTTCTGAGAGGTAAAATAACCTTTTCTTTTGGCCACATTCTTTCAAACTTATGCCTAGTTAGGAAATTCTTTGGGCCTCTAACAGTGGCGTGGAATGAAAACTCTGCATGGGTAAAGTGTGGTTCTGGTTCACTCCTCACAGTATCAGTGTATATACATTTCTTAGAACTTGATATCAGGTCCTGGTCCCAGTGGAGAATCAGGAAAGAAAAATGGAGTGAATAAATTTACCCAAGGTAAGCACCTTGCCAGCCATTGGAGCTTTTTTAGGTATTGTAAGTGTATCAAATGATGGTTAAGCATACTTAATGTAGTGAGGCTGCACAACTGAGGCTCATTTTATTTTACATCAGCTTTTTGTAGCATCCTATATACATGCTAAGGTATAGTTTTATTAAATGAGAAAGATCTTTCTGAAAAGAGAAATCCACGTGATCTTTTAGTATATATTCCTTTTAACACACTTAAAAATTATACCTTCTAGTTAGATCTTGCCAGTATGCCAGGTTATTAAAGTTTTCTTTCCTTTTCTTTTGTTTTGCTTAGGTAATAGTCTTTTAGATTATAGCGGTTGTCTTATTTGATTCTTTTGGAAGGGGTGAAGTTATAGTTTCATTAGCATCTATTTCTCTATGCTAAATGTTAAGTGCTGAGCACTTACTGTTTTGTCAGTTTTTTTTTTTTCCTCTGACACTTATATTATCGTTGATTGAACCATCATATGCTCAGAGGAAGCCAGAGATGATGTGTATATCCAACCATGTCAGGGAATGAAGAGTTTTACCAACTGAACTTTCTAGAAATATGGAAGCTTAAACAATCATTAACAATTTTTTTAAGTTTATGAAAGAAATGTTTCTAAACTGTACTTTCTCCTTTCTGCCTTATGAAGTAAGATATAAATTATATATCATTTCTCTGATGCATTAAGGTTGTCATTAATTACAGTAATATTTGGCTCACATCCTCTGAGGTACTGTTGGTGGTGGTGATTGGCTTCCATGTTTAATTTTTTTAGACTAAATATTAAAAACTTTTTTTGGCCCTCTTCATCTTCTCTTGCTGCTGTCAGTGAGTTTGCCACCAGCATTTTCCATATACTTCTTTGTCATGTCCTTTATGATCAGATTTGTGCACTTGTAAAACCCATAATTGTTTTCCAAATATTAGTGAACCATCTGATACTGGTACTGCCTTGGTGGACCTTCTCTAGAAGCCATTTCTTCGTTGTACTCCTTTTAAATTCAACCCGAGGCCATTTCTCCAGGTTACCTGAGGCTGGATTTAAGTAGGTTGACTGCTTACAGTTTGACCCCTGAATGAGTAGAATGTTGCTGACTTTGTTGGGCATAAAAGTAGTTCCTCTTTGGATTTAAGAGAAATAATTTAAAATTCCAATTAAGTTATAGTGTTTTCCTTTGTCTAAGGTCTTATAATTCAATTTTTAAAATTTATTTATAGGAGTAGCTACTCTATAAAAGAACCCGTATCTACACTTCACCGACTCTCCCAGCGACGCAGGAGAACCTACTCAGATACAGACTCTTGTAATGATATTCCCCTTGAAGACCCAGATAGTAAGTTAGATGGAGTTTGTCTCTTTCTTTGGCCTTTTTAGCATACTTGTTGTGGACTCTGTGATTTCTGGAAATAAGAATACTGACATTGGAGCATACAGTAACAGCTGCTCATATATCTAGTTACTAACAGTTTTGTTATCAACTAAGAAGTGCTGAGGGTTGCTTTGTAAATATCTATATTCATATATATGTATATGTATATATAAAATATCATAATCTTTTTTATTCCTGCTACATTTGCATTGAAAAAACATTTTAGAAGAAAGCATGAAATATAGGTAGGATTTTTTTGGGGAAAACAAATCAGTTGTTTTTACTTATGTGCCTTGATATGGCTAAGGACAATAATTCTGTCTGGTAGTAGTGGTGAATGATAGTAGCATTTATTCATTATTTTTCTCTTGTATTAAAGAGAGGTTATATTGTGATTTTTAGGAAATTTTTTTGTGATTTGTATGAGAACTTTTACTTTTTGTTTCTGAAGAGAAAAAATCTTTGAAAGTGTATTAGGTTACCTAGTTTGACAGTGCTGACCATGATTTCTAGTGAACACGAATACATCTTCTTATTATATTGCCATGAATAGACTATTACTGTTTAGTCTTTACTATTTCCCAGGAAGCATGGGGTTTAGAAATTACATATAGTTCCCAATTAAGGAGCAGATTGTGCTCCAAAAGTTCATTTGTAAGTCATTTGTTTGGAACACCGATTTTATTTCTCTTAGGAAGTGACACAGTAAATGGTGGTCAGATTTTTTAGATAGCCTAGGACAACCCAGCTAAATCATAGCAAGGCTAGGTAGGACAAAAAACATGTCATTGCATTTCTAGTCTTTGATTATGTAGGACACACTGATTAAGATAGAGCTGATTTACTTAAAAGGAAGTCAAACAAGTTTTGTTGGAGGAGGAGGTAAAGTTCATGCAGATAATGGGATTCTGAATGGGGCTGGTGGCATTTTCAAATATTTAGAAGGTAGTGGCATCTTTCTTTAAAATAGAACTAATAACCTGTTTATTGACATAGAACATATACTTACCATTGTTTTGAATTTAAGTTGGAACATTGGAGATGTGAAAAAAGGAAAAGAGGTGAGGGTAGGGAAGGGGAAGGGAAGAAAACAGTTTTCCTGGCCAGCTGAGCAAGACCTGGTAGAGAAAGGGAAAAGGAGAAGAGGGTTAAACAGGTTATGTGAAAAAGGTGTTTCTGAAGCAGGAATATAGATTCGTATTCCTCTTCTTCTTTATGCCTTTATACACAACTCTTTCAATCCAGAGCTCCTGAGAATATTCAGTGTGCTTGCTGCCTTCTGCTTTTTTTTTCTAAATGATACTTCTTTTTTCTTTTTAAAGAGCATCTTTTGTGATAAGTTTTTATAAAACTAGCCATTTTTCCTTAGTTCCTTTCTCTCTTAAGACTCTGGGTCCTGATTTTTTAAAAAGATTTAGGTTTATATGCCTTAGTACAGTTAGCATTCCATAATTCAGCTGTTAGGACTACAACAAAACTAATCTCACACATAAACACACAAATATGTATGATTATCTCATTTTTTCAGAACTTCTCTAAATAGACAAAGTCAAAAGTTTCATCCTTAGATTTTTCTGTTTATGCTAAAGCTAGTGTTTCAGTTAGTTGACAAAGCAGAGAATTACCACTCTTTCTTTTAAAGCATATACATTGCATTTGGCAGTCTTCATTGAAAGTCTTTATTCACAAATGTTCTTCTTGTGAGGTACAATTGCTTCTGTTTTTAAATATTTTTTAAATTAGAAAAGTAATAAATGGTCTTGTACATTCAAACAATATGTATAAAATAATCTACTCTGGAGCAGGACTATGCTAGTGTATTCAGTTGTGTCCTTTTGGAGTTTCAGTGGTATTTCTGTGAGGTGCATTCCATGTGGAAAGATGGGTACTTTGCCTAGAAAGTCTCATGAAGAGGAAGACTTTAATTTATCTTAGTTCTCTTACCAGTTGTAGATCTTAGGTAAGACATGTAATCTGCTTTGGATCTTTGATTCTTTGCATAGAAGCAAGGAGGACATAACAGCATAAAAATAGACTGAAAGAGCAATAATTAATTAAGGAAGGTTAAATTCAATTCAGCAAGTATTTATTGACTGCCCATTATGTGCCAACCACAATTTTAGCAATGAACAAATCAAAAATCTCTACTTCAGATAGTTTCATAATTATCTCATGAACTCTGAGGATTCTCCTTATAATTGTCAATAGTAGAAAAGTTAGATTTTTCTTTATTAAATAGACAAAATATTAATAGGAAGCTAAAGGAATTTCATGTCTCAGAACAGGGAATTGAGAATGTTCTTTCATAGAGGTCTGGAGTTAATACTGATAAGAGTTTAACCTTTGAATCAATTTCTTACTAGGACCTGTTCACTGTTCAAGAAATACACTTAATGGAGATTTGGCATCAGCAACCATTCCTGAAGAAAGCAGACTTATGGCCAAAAAAAAATCTGAATTGGAAGATCCTCTTCCATCCTTCTCTTCCTGAGGAAACTGAAGTGTCCAACTTCCTCTAAGTATTGCTATGCAAAAGCTGCTGTTATCAACTTGTTATAGGGAGTAGTTTTTCCCTTTACTTAGTATTTCTCTGCACTTTATAGAATATTGTAAAACAAACAAACAAACAAAAAACAACCCACATACTTTTGAAGTGTATTTTATCTTTATATAGTTTATTTGCAAGAGTATTTTCCTAATAACTTCACAGTATGAATGTGCATCTTTCTTTTTTTTAAAAAAAAACACAAATGATGCTGTAACATTTTGACATCCATAAGGACAAATGTAGATATTTTTCTAAAAAACTGTGAGGGACTGACATCTTTGTCAGTGTGTATTGTAGCTTATAAACATGAAATCTTGTAAGGTTTCAGTTTGACAGAAGTGTGATATATGTAAATTGTGCCATGGACCAAAAGGTCACTTTATCCCAGCTTAAAATGAGTTATGATAGCAGCTTGATGGTGATTGTATCAAATTCCTTTAAGAAAAAAGGAACACTTAATATTCTAAATATCTTTAGCCCAAATAACATGACATTTTGAATATTCTTTAAAAACCAGACTGTGCTGTCCTTCATATGTGAAGTTGACACTACTGATTTGTCAATACCAAATGTTGGGTTAAAGTATTTAATTTTATTTATTTATTTTCTTGTTTCCTCAAAGATGATTGTTTTCTAACTTTTGTGACCTACCAAATTTAAGATGTGTATATGTTGTTATTTATATTGTTCTACAAAAGAGGATGATGTTGTAGTGACTTGGCTCACTTACACCAGAGAAATAAATGACTTTCAATGGAAGAGGATTTTAGTGCTTTTTTCCTGAAGTAGACATTAAGCTGCTGTTATAAGGTATTGTTTGCAGTTCTTTAGAATATCTAGAGACATTTTTAATTTATGACTATTTATACAAAAAAGGAATCCTGTCAAGATGACTGTTCTGTATCACTTGAGAATGGCATTATTTAAAGAGCAGTTAGCATTTGTTTGATAGTGCCTGTCCATATCTATTGTCAGTGTTTGCCTTGTAATCTCTCTCTTTTTTTTTTTTTTTTTAATTCACTTTGGGATGATAGTTCTGTCCAAGATTTTAGATGAGCAGCACTTTAAAACAAATTGGCTTGGTGTTTTTAAGTTAATCATGTGTTTAATAAATATGTGGTTTTTGCATTCAAACTCATCATATAATATATTGTATTTTTTACATTCACTGATATTCTGTGTAGTCTTTATTAAGTGTTAATAGTATTCTTTATTGATGATTTCATTTGTATATTCAGGCTTGCTGGTAAATACACAATGAAGCATACTTTTAGCTTTTTGTTGCCTGTGAGCTTAGAATGGTGTAGCTTATTTCCCTTTAAATTTCTCTTATAAATTTATGTGGCAGTTTTTTGAAATGAATTAATAGTTGATATTTACTCAGATAAGATATGTAATTATAGGCTTTTTAAGTTTAAGATATGACATCAATGATCTCTATACATTAACATGTATTTAGATAAAATGCTACTAAACATGTTTGTGATTTTAAATAGCACGCAGGTCACAGGCTACTCTGTGCTCAGTGGAATCTTCCTGCTCATAAGTTATATTTTATGTCTAATTGAAAAAAAAATTGATAATGTGGTAAGTTTCCATGTTGAATGGACAGTCAGGTTTTGTTTTTGTTTGTTTTGTGGTAGGAACTTGCACAGTGATGAAACCTTGAAGGTCAAGGTGCTTCTGGTAAAGTTTTTCTGGTAGTTTTTTTTTTTTTTTTCTTTTAGGTATTACATTTATAATGAAAACATTAATAAGATTTTGAATTCATAGGAAATAGTCAAGCCCATTTTCTATTGCTTTACAGATGGATAAGTTTGTGAAGTTTTCTGTAAATATTTTAAAAATAAAAAGTAGTCATTACTAATTTGTATTATTTTTCACCCTTGAAACAGGTGCTTGAATAGGTGTGCTTTAACCCTAAGAATGGCTTTTATTGTGACTTGGATCCACTTTTTTTCTTTAGGAACCAAATAAATTTGTGAAATCATCTTTTTTTTTTTTGAGTGGGTATATATATATATATATATGTGTGTGTGTGTATGTTTATATATATATATATGTATGTGTGTGTGTATGTGTATAAATATACATATATATATATATCTTAATTTTTAAATAGGGTTTCTTTTTTTTTTTTTTTTTTTTTTTGAGACATGGTCCTGCTGTGCTGCCCACATGGGTCTCAAACTTGTGGGCTCAAGCAGTTTTCCTGCTTCAATCTCTGGAGTACATGAGACTACAGGTGTGGTGACACCTTGTATATATCTAGGTTTTTTACCAGTGGATTAATAGCATGAAGCAACTTTTAAAGAGTAAGGGAATCTTGCATTTTGAGAAACCCCATGTATTTTCAAGTGTGACTGACTTCTGAGTTTTAAGGTAAAAGTGAACCAAATGAAAACAATTCTGTAAGAATTTTAGTTTATCAGGCTTTTCTATGATATATAGTTATTTATTGACTTTTTCTTGCTTTGTCTAAGGCATGGGGTTATTGAGAACTCTGGAGACTCTTTTGACATGTCAGTGGTCTTCTAAGAAAAACCAGTGTTTGCTTTTCATCTGAAGTGCCTGGTAATCCCATGATTAGAGGGTTCTTGATAAGAATTATTTTGTAAATGAACTTAATTTGAATTTTGTTACATTATATTGAATAATTGTTTTATCTTCAATCAAGATAAGTCCAGAAATGGATGCTATTGCTAAATTTAAATTCCAAGGCAGGAGATAAAATATCTTAATTTTCACAGATGCCTTGGAACCTATGACCCCAAATTAGTTTTTTACTATGCATTATCACATTTAGAAATTTAAAAATCATCATAAAAATCTCAGGAAGCTTGTATTTGTGGTATATTAATATTAGAGTGCTGTTAATATTATTGCATCCTTAATTTAGACTCTGCTGGTTTTTCCTTTATTTAATGAGGTACCTCTGTGTCTGTCATTTGAGTTTTGCTGTTGCGGTTTTGTCATTTGTGGCGTGGAGGAAGCCCTATTTGGTTATAGGAGTTCCTGTAGAGAGGTCTCTCTTTTAAGAGCTCTGCTGAGTAAGTAAATGGTAGGTAGCTGATAGATAGGGCTACTGTTTCATGTCTTTTTGGTTCCTCAGTCCTCTCTTTGAATATGCTGAATTTGTAAGTTTAAATTCTTTTTTTTCCTTTTTTTTTTTAAGTTAGGTTTCTTATTGAAGTAATTCATGTACATAGTTGAAAGAAATAAAATACTTGAAATGAAAAGAGCAATTTAGCATCCCAAAGAGGTATACTTTAATGGTTTATTTTAGTATTTACTTCCTATTTAAAAATGATATAGTACTTTTTTCTTGATTTAATCAGTTTCAAAAAAGAGTTATTGAATTCTTTTTATGGTAGGCAGGGTTTGCTTTTTTATATCCACATGTCTCCTGATTTTCTTTCCCTATCCCTTCCCTTACCTAGATTTTGTTAAATCAGTAGTTACAAATATTGTTCACTAACAGTCTACACAACTATCATTATTTACTTTCTATTATTTTTCCTAGAGTTATGTTGCCCAATTGTAAAATTTGCTTAGTATTGTTTATATACCTATCACAGTGATAATCCAAAGCCACAATTCCTCAAAAACATTACATGATCTATAGATTTCTTTTTATGGTTGCCCTTTATGGGCAGAATTTCTTCCACAATCTCTCTTTTGCCATTTGGACCGTGCACTCTCCAGGCATGTTTCTGTCTATGCATTGTGATGTAGTCTCACTTTGTATCTCCTGTTTATTCAATACGATGATTTCTTCTTTCTTGATTTACTGTCTCTTTTTAAAGAATTGTTTTTTGCCAGAGCTTATGCACAATAGCTTCCTGAAAAGATGCATTGGAGGTATAGATTTTGAGGCTTTCCAGGTTTGAAAATGTCTCTACTTTGGATTGATTGTGGTTAGAAGTCTGTCAAAAAGAATTTCCTTTCAGAGTTTTAAAGGCACTGTCTTTCATCACTTGATATTACTGTGAGAATTCTGACATCCTTCTTACTTTTACTCTCTGGAGGCATTTAGGAGCATCTCTTTACAAAAACCCTGATGTTTCAAAATGTCTGTCTTTATTCATTCATTTTAATGAGTACTTGACTTGGTGGAGTCTCCCAGTAGATTTGCCTGCTTTGATTCTAGGAATTTTTTGTGTGTTGTTTCTTTGATTATTCTTTCTGCCCCATTTTGAGTGTTGAACTTCCCAGATTCCAGACTGATACTCTAATTTTAAAAGTATTTTCTCCAGTTGCTGCTTCAATTGTATTATTTTTTGTTGTTTTTGTTACCCTTTAGCTCTTCACTTGAATTTTCTACATTTAAATTGCCAAGAGATCTTTTTACTTTGTTACTTTTCATAAAACCCTATTTTTATTTTATAGATTCAGTGCCTCTTTATCTCCCTGAGTACAAAATAATGGGCCTTTCCTTATATCTTTCCTCTTTCTTTCATCATTTCTATTCCCCATATTTCTGCTTTTTATTTGTGTTGTACTCTTTCTTTCTGAAGGCTTTCTTAGGAATTTGGAGAGATCATCCATTTAGGTTAGTCATGTACCACAAAGCTAATTTCATAGGCCTTTATGTTTGGGCTGTTTTATCAGTTGTCTTAAGGGCCATGGGGCAGAGGGCTAGCCTTTTCGGTTAGGATCTACTGGATTTCAGTGGAGATTTTTTCTTTGGTGTCATTCAATTTCTCTAGAAAGTTGCGTTCTGAAAATAGCTTAAGAGAAGATGGCTGAAAACCCTACAGTTTGTATGATGGCCTTTACTAATCTCTGTATTTTCAGCTTTCTTCATATCCCGTCCCATCCCACCTAAGTCCTCTATGATTTGTAACCCTCTGTTGCAGTTTTCCTGTGGACAGCAGAAGAAGGTGGTTGGCGGCTGTGGAGAGTAGGGGAGAGAACCAGGGATCCAATTGCTTTTGTATAGAGTTCTAATCCTCATTTCAGCCCTGTGCCTCCCTCCTTTTTTCTACAATAACAATATTTCCAAATCTTGCACTTAACAGAGGTTTGGTGTATTTTTGCTTCTCCCTCTTAGGCTTCTGCTTAGGCTTTAACCTCCTCCATACTCCTCTTGGCTTCTATTCTTTGAAACTTTTGAGATTTCTTGACTTTGTATTCTGTTCTCTTTGTCTTTGTGAATTAATTCCTTTTATATTCCTGAAGTGTCTTTTTGGTGGGGTTTTGGAAGTAGAGAAAATAAAATCATGTGGCCAGTCCACCGTGTTTAACTGAAAGTCTATATTTAAATTCTAATAGTGTGTAAGAAAATAAAAATTCTTTAATATTTTGCAATTCATCCTTTCCACTTAGTAATTTTTAATTCCCATGCTTTTACTGTACTACCTACCTCATACAGCTGGCAGTACATAAAACACCTAGAATAGTGCCTGGTACACAGTATGTGTTAAATAAGGATTCTTTATTATGAATATTGTTATTATCATTATTAATTTCACTACTATCATTCCGAATTCAGTAGCCCTTTTAGACTTGAATGAAGATGTTTTGCCATAGGAATAATTATTAATATCTGGGAAAATATGTTGATAATATTGATATTACATTACTTTACATGAGGTGTTCAGTGTTATTTTTTTTTTTTGAGAAATGTTAAAGCCTTAAGAAATCCAATTAGTAGTCATTACTTTAAATGTTTTAAGAAGAGTATAATAATTCTGAAGTGCTTTTAACTTTATTGGAACTGTTTTGGTCTTATCATCTAAATATGAGGTATGGAGAATAAAGTTATGAAGATGGTATTTGTTATACCTTACTTGTAGCTAGTAGATATAATAACTTTTTGACCACATAGATTACAGGAATAGAGAAATAGTAGATTGCAATCATTGCATCTGTAACCATTCTTGTGAATGGTTGTACACCTTTCAGAAAATGTTGTGAATGTATACAAAGAAAATGCATGCATTTATTCAGTAGGTAAAAGTTTAATTTATTGTATAATTAGAATGTTTCAGAGAATGTTTAAATACTTAATATTTAAAAATATTTTGCTTTAGACTGGTTTTTTTATGTTAATATCTAAAAGTAAAATAATTTGTTCTAGATACAAAGTACTCTGAGCCTAGATTTCAAAATTCCTTTCTTTAAATTTAAAGTATCCTTTTTTGTTTGGATTAAGGGAGTTGCATA